CCGTTCAGGCGTGGTTGTTCAAGATGAACGTTTTCTTCAACGCCAGCTACGTCTCGGAGGATACGGCGAAGATTCGTTATGCCGTGTTGCTGCTGCGAGGACCCGCCATGGATTGGTGGCGCGTCATCGTCACGAAGCCGAATGACTACGCGACTCTACCAACACGGGAAGGACAAACCGGACCCTGGGCGCCGTCGTATTTCGGGGAGGTGCCCCAATATCGCACGTGGGACGCGTAGTGCGCAGGTCTGCGCGCTCGATTTGAGCCAATTGCGGCTTCGATCGCGGTGTGTCAGAAGCTCCGCACTTAGCGCCAACTCGGTTCCGTCGAAGACTACACTAGCGGGTTTCTGGCGCTATGCGAGCAAGTAGGATATATGTAAGAGGGTGAGCGTAACAACAGCTCCATCGGCGGTCTGAAGCATGCCATAGCCCATGAAATCCAGCTCCGAGGCGTCACTGATATTCAGGAGATTCTCGCCATGGCGGAGAAACTTGTCTTCTTTCGCCGACCGAGACCGGGGTCCTACGGAAGCAGCAACTGGGGACATCGGTCTCGTGGGACGAACCAGGGCGCCACGATACGTGCCGTCGCCGCGAATGCTGCTGCCGCATCGTTCAAAGGGCGCTGCTTTGCGTGCAATTGGTAGGGACACTGTAAGAGTGAATGCCCGGAAAACGCTAAGGGAAAGGGGGAAGCTGAGCAGCAGAAACAGATCAAATAGTAGGGAAACGCTGGGAGTCAGTAGCAGACGGGCCCTCTACTGATAGGTCATGCCGCTCACCCGACCCAACCGACCCTCACCGAGTTATTGTGCCAATTCACGCAATCGACCATACCCAGCCGAATAAGGAGGGTACTACGGTAGACAGCCCCATACTGCTTAGTGGGAAAATCGGGACAGACTTGGTTAAAATATTTGTCGACAGGGGAGCCAGCCACAGCCTGACCAACACCGCCACAGCATGGAAACTGAGACTGCCACTGGACATATGTTTATTTGAGATCGACGCAAGACTGGTTGACGGCATGCCACTGGCGATACGGGAACGGGTAGACCGGGTTCGGATTCGATTCGGGGGTAATTTCACGTTTAGCCAGGAAATGCTCGCGACAACTCTTGAGGGAACCGACATTTTACTCGGTCGTGATTGGCTGCGACGACACAACCCGCGAATCGACTGGACGACGGGTGACTGCACCGTGCAAGTGAACGGTGATAACATCGCCTTATCTCGCTGGGGCTCGCCTGAGTCTTCGTCGGTGCATGTCAACGCGATAACGATAAAACGCGCCGTAGCGGCAGGTGTTGACATTCAGGAAGGCGAGGCAGCAGACAAAGGGGGGGACTTACAAAAACTACTAGCCAACGCACTGGATAATTTGGCAGCACTCCTGAAGCGGTACAGTGGGATATTTCCGGACGACCTGCCGACGGGACTACCACCTCAGCGATCGTACGACCACAGGATAGAACAGCAACTAGGGCAGACGCAGCAGTGGACTCAAAGGAAGGGTCAGTGACAACAGTAGCCAGCAGACGCGTGACAGAAGGACTGGCAGCACGAAGAGAGTCAGACTCCGGGTCAGCAAGAGCAAGAAGAGAGGACTCTGGAGGAGACGGCTAAGGGACATGCAGCGGAGCAGTGGAAGGACGCAGTGCCATCTGGTGCGTGCCTGGGACCGCAGGAGGACGCTGATGCGGAACACGACAACTAGTGCGAGCAGCACGAACAGGCGACGCAGGACGAGACGCAGGCTCACGACGCTTAGCAAGACCTCCAGTAGGACCAGTATAGGGAGGAGGAGCACGCAGTGGGGAGGCGGGTTGTAACAGTGACTCAGACTGGACAGGCGATGGACACTCTAAGGAAGGAGCAGGACCAGCACAAGGCGGTAGACCAAGAACCTGCTCAAGGAGCGGAACGAAGTACGGCCGCGGCCGTGCAGCGCCTCTAGAACCAGCAGGTACAGCACCTGCACCCCCAGCGGCAGCACCAGCGCCAGTAGCACCCCCAGCTCCAGCAGCACCAACTCCAGCACCCTCAGAAGCACCAGCGCCAGCAGCACCTCCAGCGCCAACACCCCTAGCAGCTCCAGCGCCAGCTGAACCACCGGAAGACTCAACATCTCTAGCTCCAGCAGCTCCAGCTGCACCTACCCCAGCAGCACCGCGAGCTCCAGCACCGCCAGCAGCTCCAGCACAAGAAGCACCCCCAGGCCCAGCAGCTCCAGTACCTCCAGTACGAGCACCTCCGGGACACGTGGCACCACTACCCTCAGCAGCAGTAGAACCTCCAGCTCCAGCAGCACCTCCAGCTCCAGCAGCACGGCTCCAGCGCCGAGCAAACCACTGGCGCAGCTCCTGTGGAGAGGGTAGCTCCCGCCGTGACGAAGCACCCGAACGACCTCCAGACCCAGTACCGCCAGACTCCACACGAGCAGGCCCAGCACCCTCAGGCTCCACACCTCCAGTCGCAGCACCCCCAGGCTCAGCACCCCCAGACGCACCACCCCCAGGCTCAGCACCCCCAGGCTCGGCACGCTCAGGCTCATCACCCCCAAGCTCAGCACCCCTAGACCCCGCACCCGCAAGCGCAGCACCCCTAGCAGCACCAGAGTCAACAGCTACCTCGACAGGCTCGACTGCGTCTACCTGAGACACACCTGAGGGGGCAGGACCCTGAGGGGGAAGGGGGTCTACCAAGGGGGGACCTGGAGCGAGGAAGAGCGGCAGCGGGGGAAGGGGTGCAGTGCGGTAGGGGAAGAGACGGTAGTAAGGAACCGACTCGTCAAACGTGACGTCCTGGGAGGACAGAACACGGCGCGAGGTGGGGTGGGAAAACTGCCAACCAGACGCGTCAGGGGGGAAGCCAAGGAAGACGCAGGGAACAGCACGAGGGGACAGCTTGTCCGCGGACAAGTCGCGGACAAAAGCCCAAGATCCCCAGACACGAAACGCAGACGCATCGCCAACCTTCCCCGTCCACCGCAGAGTAGGGGAAGTCTCCGGCAAGGAGACCCAGGGCTGAAGGTTGATCTGATGCGCCACGTACTGAACCGCGAACGGCCACAGAAAATGGGGAGCAGCCGCATGGTTCATGGAGGTACGAGCGACGTCCATGACCATGCCAATGCGGCGCTCAGCAATCCCATTTTGCTGTGGAGAGGCCGGAAGCGTGAACGTTTGGCGGATGTCCCGTGCACGACAGAAGGCTCGCAGAAGGTCAGAGGAAAACTCTCGTAACGCTCGTGACCCTGTCCACGGACGCGGGCGGGGCCCCACACGTCCAGGTGAAGTGTGTGCAGCGGAGCCTTTGTCGGAGGAAACTCGGAGGAGTGAGGAGCGGCGCGCTGCCGCCCCTCGACGCAGGGAACGCAGGTAGGGGCAGGCCCCGGGGGAAGAGGAGGGAGGGACCGGGGGGGAGACCAGAGACAAGGACACGGGAGGCCATGCCTCGGAGACGAGGCAGGGAGGGGTGACCAAGGCGGTGGTGCCAGAGGAGAGTCCGGTGGGACAAGAGACAACACGAGCAGGGAGCAGACTCAAGACCAATCCTGGACGCCGCAGCAAACACCTGACCCGACGCAGCTACCTGACCAGACTCAGCAACCGGAGGAGACTCAGTAGTCTGTGTGTACAGGCTCGACCCCGGCTGACGGGTAAACGTGGCCAAGTGTCGGCCCGTCCGAGCACACATGCAGTCGGTCACTCGCTGACTCGCAGGAGTAAACTGGTCAACCCCCCCATCCTGTAGATCAGCACCACTCACCAAGTTCGTAGAGAACGAGGGGAGGTAAAGACCTGACAGGGTGCCAGAAGGGGCCGCCGGACACGGTAAGACAGTGGAGAAGTGAGCAAGGACAGGACCCCCAGAGGGGTCTGCCAGGGAGACTGCAACCAGCCGACTAAGCAGCGTGACTGTGGTGCGGTCTCGAAAGAAGGAGCGGGAAGCACCCGAGTCAAGGGTGAAGGTGTGCAAAGCGTGAGCCGACGTGGTACCTGAGAGAGCAGACTCACCAGCACCTGGGGCAGCAGACTCACCTGCACTTGGAGCAGCAAAACCACTAGCACCTAGAGTAGCAGCCTCACCAGCACCTAGAGCAGCAGCCTCAATGCCCGGGTCAGGCGGAACACACAGGTAACAGTCACCCTCATCACTAGTAGACAAAACATACATGGCAGCAAGAACAGCATCATAATCAAGATCAAAGATAGCAACCCCCGACCTAAGCAGCTCGCCCCAGCGAGGGATCTCAGTGGCGTAAGGGAACTGGAGACGACAGGCGTCCGTCAGGCGGCCGAAGTAGCGCTAGGTGGTGTGCGGGCCACCTGTGCGGTCCCTGGAACGCAGGACGTAGGCACAGGGACCAGCATGTCAAACTTATATGCTATAGTCTGTGTAGGCTGTAGTGGGGTAGACAATATGGGGTACAACACTTTTAGGTTTTCCTACTTGTACCCACCTGTTTGCTAGTGCATTCATTCCTCGTTCTTTCACATGGTATAGAGCGGGTTCCCTAGTGGGAACATTTCCTAGGGCCCACCGAAAATCGACTTTTTTTTTCCAGCCCGTAGCGCGCTTTGCCCCTGCCCGAGTCGCGCCCCGTGTGCCTGCACTCCCGTCGCGTCCCCTGCCCTTAGCGGCCCGTCGCGCTCCCTTACGGCCCCGTAGCGGCCCCTCTCTTGGCCCCTCACGGCCCCTTTCACGGCCCTTTGCGGCCCCTTCAGGCACCTTGCGGCCCCTTCGTGGCCCCTCGCGGCCCCTTCGCGGCCTCGTCGCCGCCCTCCGCGGCCCCGTCGCCGCCCTTCGCGGCCCCGCCGCCGCCCTTCGAGGCCCCTCGCGGACCCTTCTCGGCCCCGTTGCCGCCCTTCGCGACCCCGTCGCCGCCCGTCTCGGCCCCGTCGCCGCCCTTCGCGGCCTCGTCGCCACCCTTCTCGGCCCCGTAGCCGCCCTTCACGGCCCTTCTCGGCCCCGTCGCCACCCTTCGTGGCCCCTCACGGCCCCTTCGCAGCCCCGTCACCGTCCTTCGTGGCCCCTTCACGGCCCTTCATGGCCCCTTCACCGCCCTTGGCGGCCCCTTCTCGGCTCCTCCGCGGCCCCTTCTCGGCTCCCTCACGGACCTGCCGCCCCGCCGTCGCCGCCCCTGCAGCAGCAGCCAACGCCGCTCCAGCAGCGGGATCCGCCACCGCCGGTGCCGCGGACAGCAGGCGGCCGCCGCCGCCACAGGCAAGGCCAAATCCGCCGCAGCAACCTACAGCAGCAGCAGCCGCCAACGGCAGCAGCCGCAGCCGCCACAGCCGGGGCCGCAGTCGCCGTAGCTGCTGCCTGCAACTGCCGTCGCCGTCAACAGCAAGGGCCGCCGCCGCTGTCCCGGCCCAGCCCTGCAGAGCAGAGCAGCGCTCCTCTGCCGCCCTGTAGCAGCCCCGTCCTTGCCGACGCGCCTCGGCCCTGCCCCACCACTTGCGGCACTCTACCCACCTGCCCTGGTAAGAGCACCACCGAGCCGCGCCCCTCCTGTTGCTACTGGTGCTGCTGCCCCTAGCCTGCTGCCACTGCTGTCATAGCTACCCCTAGCGTTCTCGCCTTTGATGCTGAGGGTCGGGCTATTGACTTTGAGGTCTTGGTCGATGATCTACAGCTTTTCCTATAGTGCGATAAGAAAGACAGTCTCTCACTGTTCGATCTCACGTCTGGCGCCGCTGCTGCCCCTGCTGCCAATGTTGACAGCACTGTTCGCTCACAGTGGGCCACACGCGATGCTGCTGCCCGTCTTGCTGTACGTAGTCACTTGCCATCCACTGAGCGCGCGCACAGTAGTCAGTACAAGAGTGCTAAGACCTTGTACGACGCTGTAGTTGCACGCTACTCTTCCCCTGCCACTACTGCCCTTAGCCGCCTCATACTGCCGTACCTGTTCCCTGACCTCGCTGCCTTTCCCATTGTCGCTGACCTCATTACGCACCTTCGCACTAGTGACACCCGCTACCGCGCTGCGCTTCCTGCTGAGTTCTGCACCAAGAACCCCCCCCCCCCATGTACATCACCCTCTACTACATAGTCACCCGGCTCCCTAACTCCCTTCGCTTAGTCAGGGACCACTTCCTCTCTGTTTGCCCCACCACACTCACCGTTGACCTCCTCGAGGAGCGCCTCCTGGCAGTTGAGAAGAGTATAGTCGCAATAGGAGCCTCTCGTGGTGACCCTCGTGCCCCCTTCTTTGAGGGGTGCTCCCCCTCCCCCCTTTTGCCCTCTGGTGCCTCTGCTGCTGCCGTCGACTTCGTTGGCACCGAGTCGGTCGGCGCTGCGTCTGCCCCTAGCGGGAGACGCCGCACCGGCAAGGGCAAGGGGGGCAAGGCCGCCGGATGGGCTGGCGGGGGCGGTGGAGGTGGCGGTGGAGGCGGCGGCGGGGGTGGGGGTGGTGTGGAAAACTGAACGAGAATGAATGAACTATGAATGAAGTGAGTACAAATATGAAACCCTAATTGTGTTGTACCCCCTATGGGATACCCCACTATAGCCTACACAAATAAGTAAGCTATAATGTTCTAACACACCCCCATAGGCAAAGTGGGGGAGAACAAGGGGTCACAAGACCAGTCAAGCAAAGCAAAGCAAAGCTTAGGGTGGATCACAAAGTCACCACACATTCCGAGCACAAGGTCAAGGGCCACAAGGCCAGTTCGCATGCAAGATCATATATAGAGATATACAAGAGTCAAGCAAGCAAGAGCAAGAGTATATATAGGTCAAGGTACAAGCAAGGTCAAGAAGTGAGCAAGTGAGGCAAGACAGGCACAAGACCCAGCTGCGTGCAGCAACGCTGATGATCACAAGGCGCAAGTGCCTTGGTGAAGACATCAGCAGTGTTGGCCTCAGAGGCCACGTACGCAAGTCGCAACTGTCCACGCTGCTGCAGCTCACGAGCAAGAAAGTAGCGGAGAGCAATGTGCTTTGTCCTGTGCTCGAGTCGCTGCTCTCGACACAAGGCCAGCATGGCCTTGTTGTCTACATACAGGGCTGGAGGAGAACGAGGCGGCTCTTCAAGGTCGGTCAGCACGTAGGTGAGCCAGCGAAGCTCCTGAGCAGCCATAGCCCCGGCGTAGATCTCAGCCTCACAACTGGAGCCGAGAACAGAAGACGAGTGAGTAGCCCGCCACGAGACAGAGCCGGAACCAAGGCCGAAGGTGTAACCCTGTGACGACCGCTGCGTAGCCTGGTCGTCTGCCCAAGAAGCGTCCGCGTGCCCAGTGAGGACCACTGGACTGCGCCCTCCAAGCACTAGCCCCATGCCCGACGTACTGCACAAGTAGCGCAACACCCTCTTCGCTGCAGCCATGTGCTCTGGTCGGTGTCTCCCAGGAGCAACATAGCGTGCGAGAATGGTGAGAGGGTATGCAAGGTCAGGTCGTGTGCAGGTCATCAGGTACATGAGGCAGCCAACAAGCTCTGCATACGGGCCACTCGACTCTACGGACTCATCCGAAGGCAGAGCTGAGAGCGAGTGGCGAGTAGGCAGAGGAGTGGCCTGAGGCGAGGAGTACGTGAAGCCGAAGCGCTGAAGGACCTGCTGCACCATGTGTGACTGAGTCAGGGTAATGGTGCGGCGTGCTCTGTCCCGGGTGATCTGCAAGCCAAGGTAGCTGCGCAGTTCACCCAGGTGAGTGCATGTGTGTCTCTTCTGCAGCTCGGACTTCACGTAAGCGAGTCCAGCAGTGTCCGCTGTGGCAAAGACCAAGTCGTCGACGTACACGAGGATGTAGAACGGCGGCAGAGAGGTGTCGGTGCGCAGAAACAGCGACGGGTCGGCAGTAGAAGGAGCAAACCCAAGTGCCGCAAGCGTAGTCCTCAGTGTGTCATGCCACTCACGTGGCGCCTGGCAAAGACCGTAGACTGGACGCCGGAGACTCCACTGGGTACCAGGAGGGAAAGACCCAGTGAAGCCAGGTGGGCGACGCAGCCAGATCTCCTCGTGCAGGCTGCCCTGCAAGAAAGCTGTGCTGAAGTCGAGAGAGTGCAGCTCGTAGTCACGGTGAGCAGCAACGTGCAGCAGTACCCGAAGAGTGGTCATTTTCGGGGTGGGGGAGAAGGTCTGAAAGTAGTCAACCCCCTGCCGCTGACTGAAGCCACGAGCCACGTAACGCGCCTTGAAGACAGGCGGAGAACCCGGCGGCCGCTTCACCCTGAAAATCCACATGCCACTGACGATGTTCGCCCCAGGAGGGGGAACAGCGTTGACGTAGGTGCCTGTGGACTTCCAGGAAGCCATCTCTGCATCCATAGCTGCCTGCCACTAAGAGGAGTAGGGACCCTCTATCGCCTCCGCGTAAGAGCGCGGAGTCGGGATGTCTAGTGCATCCGGGTCTCCCCAAGGGGCTAGCAGTACAGACGCGAGATGAGGTGAAGCGGCGGCTTGGCACTGGAACTTCTCCTGCCTGTCCTCAAGGACGTCCGTGCCAAGGGCACACTCACCCCCGACGGACGGAGGACAGGCAGACTCAGACTCAGCAACAAGACTAGCAGCGTAGTCTAGACGACAGCGCGCAGCAAAGTCGACGAGCTCAGTGACAAGGGCAGACGCAACAGAAGACTCGAAAGAAGGGTGAGTGACAGCAGTAGCAAGAAGACGCGTGACAGTAGGACTGGCAGCACGAAGAGAGTCCGACTCCGGGTTGGCAAGAGCAGGAAGAGCGGAAGCAGGAGGAGAAGGCAAAGGGGCACGCAGAGGAGCAGTAGACGGACGCAGAGACATCCGGTGCGTGCCAGGGACCGGAGGCGGACGCTGACGCGAACCACGACCACTAGTGCGCGCAGTACGAACAGGTGACGCAGGACGAGACGCAGGCTCACGACGCTCAGTAAGACCTCCAGTCGGACCAGCGTAGGGAGAAGGAGCAGGCAAAGGTGAGGCAGGCTGTAGCTGTTACTGTGACGAGACAGGCTGTGGACCCTCTAAGGGGGGAGGAGGAGGACCAGGAGAAGGTGTAAGACCAAGAACCTGCTGCAGGAGCGGAACGAAGTACGGCCGGGGCCGCGCGGCGACGCCAAAAACAGCAGGGACAGCACCAGTACCCCCAGCAGGAGTACCCGCTCCAGCAGCACCTCTAGTAGCTCTAGAACCTCCAGCAGCACCACCAGTCGGACCTCCAGCGGCAGTCTCAGCGTCAACACCCTCAGCAGCACCAGCTCCAGGAGAACCCTCAGACCCAGCAGCTCCAGCACCCACAGTACGAGCACCTCCGGGACGCTCGGCAGCAGTACCCTCTGCAGCCGAAGAACCTCCAGCACCAGCAGCACGCCTCCAGCGCCTGGCAAACCACTCACGTAGCTCCTGAGGGGAGAGTGGCTCTCGGCGAGACGAAGCACCACCAGGCGGAGCACCCCCAGTCTCAGCACCCCCAGGCTCAGCACCCCCAGGCTCAGTACCCCCAGGCTCAGCACCCCCAGGCTCAGCACCTCCAGGCTCAGCACCCCCAGGCTCAGCACCCCCAGGCTCAGCACCCCCAGGCTCAGCACCTCCAGACTCCGCACCCCCAGGCTCAGCACCCGCAGGCGTAGCACCTCCAGTCTCAGCACCCCTAGGCTCAGCTCCCGCAGCAGCACCAGAGTCACCAGTGACCTCGACAGGCTCGACCGCGTCTACCTGGGACACACCTGAAGGGGCAGGACCCTGAGGGGGGAGGGAGTCTACCGGGGGGGGACCTGGTACCAAGAAGAGCGGGGGCGGGGGGAGGGACGGAGTGCGGTAGGGGAAGAGGCGGTAGTAGGGTACCGACTCGTCGAACGTGACGTCCTGGGAGGACAGAACACGTTGTGAGGTGGGGTGGTAGAACTGCCACCCAGGGGCGTCTGGGGGGAACCCCAGGAAGACGCAAGGAGCAGCGCGAGGGGACAGCTTGTCCGCAGACAAGTCGCGGACAAACGCCCGAGATCCCCAGACCCGGAACGCCGACGCATCGCCAACCTTCCCCGTCCACAGCAGCGCTGGGGAGGTCTCCGGCCTGGAGACCCTGGGGTGGAGGTTGATCTGATGCGCCGCGTACCTGACCGCAAACGGCCACAGAAAATGGGGGGCAGCCGCATGCATCATGGACGTACGAGCGACGTCCATGACCATGCCAATGCGGCGCTCTGCAATCCCATTTTGCTGCGGGGAGTCCGGAAGCGTGAAGGTCTGGCAGATGCCTCGCGCACGACAGTAGGCACGCAGAAGGCCAGAGGAGAACTCTCCGCCTCTGTCCGAGTGCAAACGCAACACAGGAAAGTCTGAGCCAAAGCTCTGCCTGAGCTGGAGACAAGCTGCGCGGATCCAGTCGATCAGCACCTCAGTGACATCACCCTTGCTGCGCAAGGGGAAGACTGTGGTGTAACGCGAGTAGTCGTCAACCACCAGCAGGAAGTAGCGCTCGTGACCGAGTCCACGGACGCGGGCAGGGCCCCACACGTCCATGTGAAGCGTCTGCAACGGAGCCTCTGTCGGAGGAAACTGGGAGGAGTGAGGGGCAGCACGCTGGCGCCCCTCGACACAGGGGACATAGGCAGGGCCAGGGCCGTGAGGAAGGGGAGGTAGAGACCGGGGGAGACCAGACACAAGAAGACAAGAGGCCATGCCTCTGAGCCGAAGCAGAGAGGGGTGGCCAAGACGGTGGTGCCAGAGGAGGGTCTCGTGAGACAGACGGCGACACGAACAGGGGGCAGACTCAGGACCAGACCTGGACGCTGCAGCAAACACCTGACCAGACGAAGGGACTCTACCAGACTCAGCACCTGGAGGAGAAGCAGTGGTCAGTGTGTACAGGCTCGACCCTGGCTGACGTGTAAACGTAGCCAGGTGACGACCCGTGCTAGCCTCCGTGCAGTGCGTCACTCGCTGACTAGCAGGGGTGAACTGGTGGACTCCCACATCCTGTAGGTCAGCACCACTCACCAAGTTCGTAGAGAACGAGGGGAGGTAGAGA